ATATATCTTTGCCAAACGACTACATTCCATGTCACATTCAGGCACTTTTGGAAGAGTTTACTTCGAAGCTATACTCCGCAACCTCAGAACATCGAAAAGTTGATCAGTTACGGAAACAGCTCTTCTGCACTGGAAATAGACCCTTACATCTGATTCCACCTAGCTCAGCAACACTCGCAGAACACTGTCTCCGAGCCGCATATCAAGCATGCCAAATCTGGGGTAGATCGTTAGAAATGCTTCAATGTGCTCCCCTTCTCCAGGCTCTTGGGGTTGGACCAAATAAAATGAAATGTGGGAACCCGTTTGGTCAAAACTGACTTTCATATGGACAGCATGCAGGGAGTTGGAAAAGTGTGGCTGCAAGTCTGGCTGTGATTCCCAATGTCGTTCATGTCGACGCACAGGTTTACCTTGCACACTTCAGTGCAAATGCAATGATGCATGTTTGAACGAGAGGTAATTGACTAGGTTGAAAATTTTTAAAACATATACGGGTTACTCCTTTTTAGTGAAAATCATGAAGACCCTTCAGAATGAGATCACGAAAAATTACTAGACTGAGGGTCTCCATATTCTACTTTTTAACGACCCTGTACACTAATTTTTAATAAACTCTCAACAAAATCAAAAAGAAATTGAATTTAATTGAATTTCACGACGCAAAATTAGTCGAAACCGACATATTAAACGCTATAAGAGCTTTTAAAAAAATAATTTATCAATTTATGGTACGCCATTTTGAAAAATGGCCGCTATGTTGACGAAAACAAAAAATAATATCTTTATTGAATTCTACGACCCACATTTAGTCGAAAAAGACATCTTGAACACTAAAATCTGTTGACAAATAATAATTACCAATTTATAGTCCGCCATTTTGAAAAAAAGCCGCCATTTTGATCCTGATGGAAAAACTAAATTTTTATACGAGCTACGACCCAAAATTAGTCAAAAACGACATATCGAACGCTAGAATTTGTTGACAAAATGAGAAATACCAATTTATGATCCGCCATTTTGAAAAAAAGGCGCCATTTTGAGTCACAGTCCAAAACTGGGCTGGTCCTCCGGGTCAAATCTCTTAGAATAGCTTAAAATACATCTCTGCCAAATTTCATAATTTTAGACAAATTTGCCAAATGGTTTGGACTAACCGCTAGTAGTAGTAGTTTGATAATAAAACGCAAAAAATGTATCTGCATTGAGTTTATCCTTTTACAAAAAACTGTCCACCTGTTTTGAATATTTTTGGATACAAAGATCTTTTCCTTTAGGAAAACGATGAAATTTACATTTTTTAAGTGCTCAAAAGAAATAACCTCAAAATAACAATTTTTCACGTTTGAAAATGCAAGGAAAGTGCACTCTTATAATGAAAAACAAACCGAACAAGGACTGCGTGACGTCACTCGCATTCCTCCATTTTCGATATTTTTATGAACGTATGTCTTATGGGATTGAGCAATCCTGTAGATTTTACGATTCTTGGTTTGAGGGAGCTTGCCTGATAACTTTTATGACGTTATCTTTACGCCTAAACATAATGCGAATCTCCATAGAACCACCTGATGACGTCATTTGTTTGCTATTACCTGACAACATACAAGGAATTACCATTTTGCCAATGATATCGTCGCCGAAATTTGTTTCGATTAAATCCACGGATTGAATCGAGCCGACTCTATTCGACCGAATGAGTGTTATCACTTCGGGCGTGAAGTCTATAAACCTAGCAGTCCCAAGGTGGAAAAAAACTTCGGGAACTATATAATAATTAGGTGCTTTTTAGGTGCTAATTGGGGCCTCTAATTAAAAATTAGGTGCTTCTTTAGTTTTTGAGAAAATCAAAAAAAACTAAAGGGCTGCTAGGTTTATAAAAGCTAGCAGTCCCCTATAGTAAAAAATATTTTTTCAAATTTTTTCTTTGTATCACAATTAGGTACTTTTTAAGTGCTCCTAAATAATCCAAGAAAAAATAGAATTGATTAATTATTAACTGAGTAACAGATTTTTTTTTTAATTATTAGGGGACTGCTGGCTTTACGTTCACTTGTTGGTGTGTCAGAATGGAAAAAAAAACTTCGGGATCTATATGATAGTTCGGTGCTTATTAGGTGCTAATTAGGGCCTCTAATTGAAAATTAGGTGCTTCTTTAGTTTTTGACGAAATCAAGAAAAACTAAGGGACTGCTAGGTTTATGAATGCTAGCAGCCCCTAATAATTAAAAAAAAATCTGTAACTCAGTTAATAATTAATCAATTCTATTTTTTCTTCGACTATTTAGGAGCACTTAAAAAGCACCTAATTCTGATACAAAAGAAAATTTTGGAAAAATATTTTCACTATAGGGGACTACTAGCTTTCATAAACCTTCAATCCCTTATTTTTTTTTTTGATTTCCTCAAAAACTAGAGGAGCACCTAATTTTTAATTAGAGGTCCTAATTAGCACCTAGAAAGCACCTAATCTATATATATATATAAAAATCAAAGTTCACGGGGTATCCGGATATGCGCTCTAAAACCACTTATCCGATTACGATAAAACTTTGGTAGGTTATTATGGCCATCCCAAGGAAGGTTTGTGGATAGGTTACGCATCTCATTCACATTACATAACAACATAACCCAACTTTTTTTGACAGCATGAAATAACGTTGACATATTTCATTTATTTAGGCTTGCATTCAACCGACGTAACTTTATTATTTTTTGAATTCAAGAACGGCTGGACCGATCTTGAATTAATACCACGTATCTCTATATAAGGTGAATTCGATTGACCCAGATTAGATCGATTTGGGTTCAATTTAAATGAACTTCTTCTGATCTAGATCATTTTTTTGTTGATGAGGGTGCACTGATCCAGCTTGAATCGAACACAGTGTGGTTCATTTAAATTGAACCAGATCGATCTAATCCGGTCAATCGAATCGGCTATAGAGGAGAGTGATATAGGCTATTTTTTATCCCGAAAAAAAAAGTTCGGTTGCGTAAAACTCTGATACACTGGAACGCCTATAAACAGCCCGGGGCGCTCTAGAGCAGCTCTGGAGTGCTTAAAATGCGTCACTGAACTCACGGGCAAGCGACTCTGATATCGGATTAAAAAAAAAAAATTAAATAGAAAATCAACAACAAAATTTGAAAAGAAGTGTATTATTTCAAAATGTATTTACACGCTGGCAACGCAGCGGGTCATTAGCTAGTCTAATATATAAAATTCTCATGTCACGGTTTTAGTTACCTTCGTCCTCCGAAATGGCTTTACCGATTTTTATGAAATTTTATATGTATATTCGGTAGGTCTGAGAATAGGTTTTAAGCTATTTTTCATACCCCTAATTGATAAGGGCGGTCCACCCCAAATTTTTTCTTGCTTCTCACCACTACATAACTTAACTTATTTTTGTTTATTCCATTCAACCGACGTAACAGTATTATCTTATAGCATTTTCGGCTTTACTGCTCTCAGAGCGCTCTCTATTTGGGCGGTGACGTTACAGATCTCTGCGGAAGTGCTCCGAGAGTGATTTCTGATCCAGAGAGTAAACATTAGTTTTCTTCAACCTAGGCCAAATTCACCATTGAAAAAAACTGAATTTAATTCATCTACTAGATACGTTAACACAAAATTTAATAAGTATTTAATAATTTATAGGCGGTACGAAGTTCGCCGGTTCAGCTAGTTATTATATAGATCCCGAAGTTTTTTTCCATTCTGACACACTAACATGTAAACGTAAAGCCAGCAGTCCCCTAATAATTGAAAAAAAAATCTGTAACTCAGTTAATAATTGATCAATTCTATTTCTTCTTGTACTATTCAGGATCACCTAAAAAGCACCTAATTCTCATACAAAGAAAAAATTTGAAAACATATTTTTTCTACGACTATTGGAGAATTCATCCATTCCGACTTAGTGTTTGATTACGGAATAGCTTCATTCCCTCACTAGTGCAGGAATATTCATTCCATCACTTGTTATGGAATGAACACCTGTGGCGCCATCTAATATCATAAGCTGAAAACATATGAGAGTACAGGAAGATTATCTATTTCTACACCAGCTGCAATACGCAAACTGCAGAAATACTTGGAAAACCTCAAAAATACTATAAAATACAAGTAAATCACTAAAATCGACGTTTTGTATTAATTGCTAGAGCAAGAAGTGCAGCACAAAAAGCACAATTGCCCTTCGCAGCCTTTTTGGTGAAAAGAGGATGGAAAATAGAAAACGCTATTTGACAATGTTGATACTTGACGTATCGAGATCAAATTTTGGAGTGCGTTCGAAATCACCCTAGGCGTTCCTATCTGTGTCTGTGGTCCGTTGTTAGTTATTTCATTTGATTCAATAACACGTGTGGAATTCAAAATTCTACACTCGTGTAGCCGTTCCAAACCACTCGTGTAGAATTTTGCTTATTCCATACTAATTATAGAATATACTATTTTACTATAGGGGACTGCTAGCTTTTATAAACCTAGCAGTCTCCTAGTTTTTTTTTTTATTTTCTCAAAAACTAAAGGAGCACCTAATTTTTAATTAGAGGCCCTAATTAGCACCTAAAAAGCACATAATTATTATATAGTTCCCGAAGTTTTTTTCCACTTTGGGACTGCTAGGTTTATAGACCTTCGGGCGTGACAGCTCATTCTCATAATTTTTTTCGGACTTCGGAAAACAGATGCATGAGGCTCCTGCTCTAGATTTTACGCACTTATTGAGATTTCCATTCGCACTTTAAACTCAAAATTGCCATTGGTACTTCAGTACGGTGAATTTTAAAAAGTGCCTAAAAGTCAATATTCAAAATTCACAACTGAAACCGTTGGATCATTTTTTGTCATTCGCTAAACAATCCAAGCCACAAATTTGTTTGTATTTGTTTTAATAGAGAATAAATTTTCAATAAATTGCGCGCGCCATGTTAAATCCAATCACAAATGGGGTTTTCCGATCCGCAATCATTTTACCGTCATTCGTGGCGCGAGAAAGACGACCGGCGTCTTGTTTTGAATTTGAAAAAGGACGCGCGAGACTTCAATTTTTCTTGAGTGCGAATTAGCGTGCAAGAAGAAATTCGTTTGTGCCAAAAAACTTTTTTTTGACGATTGTGTGATGGATTTTTAATTTTTGTTGGAGCGGTAGGAGTTTTTAATTTTGTACTTTAATGTTAACCTAGTTTTGGTATCAACTAGGCTATCATCATCTCACTTCGAAGATACGAAATGAAAAGAGATGGCAATGTTCTTATGATTTATCACTTCATCATCAATGTCTTTTAATTTGCCTTCTATAACTTTATTCTAATATAAAACTGAAAATACGCATAAAGAAAAATAATATGTAAATTATTAAACAGATAAATATTTTGTTTTGTGTCTGTTCTGCGTGCTTTTATTTGAGGTCACTCTTATTTTTAAATGTTCCTTAACACTCCGACGGTTGCTAAAAAATTAACATAAATCACTATTAAAAACACTTACCACTATTTTGGGCCTCGTTGGCATTAATTATTCTCAACCTAGAAAAGGGACACAACATGGCCTTTCAGTCACGAACGCTGGGGGTAGATTCTAATCCGTTTCTTTCTTTTTTTGCCACACTGCATTATAATTTAATTAACGAATTTTGTATACGGACACGCGAATAAGCAGTCTAATTTTTTATTTTGTCTGATACAAATGAGACGACGTAAACGTACTCGATATTATTACTCAAACGAAAGTGGCTCCATCTAAATCGTATTTGGCAAATTGACTTAAATAAGGTGGCTGAGTTTACACTATCATACTTGTTCTCATATCTTTATGGACAGCGGAAAGTTCTTCATGACTTATCTTAGTCGTTTTCTTCTTTTTCCTATTTCTAATATGTATTATTATGAACTGTGGAAAACTCTCAGCAAAACAAAATCCATTGCAAAATTTAAATATGTATACGCAAATAATGCCTCCATTGTGCGCGAATAATACTGAATAAATAAGTGGCGTTTCATTCAATATTTCATAACGTTCATAATGTTCAATTTGTGGGTAGTAAATTCCTTCTTAACATTGATTTGTATGCCTCGGGGTCAAGGCCGACGGACTTTATACCGAAAAATTGCGTGCAACACACACTGTCAGAGCGAGAGAGTGTCGCCCTTGTCCAGAAATAAAAATCGTTTTTCATTTCAATGTTGCGGCCATACTTCGATCGTGTTATGTTGCTGCATACAACACATTTATCAATAAATGATTTTCCAATACGAAATGATTTCAGTACATGCAACTAAATGTCAATATTTCCTGTGAAAAAGGGCTTGTTTGTCAAAGCGAAATCGAACATGTTTCCACAAAGAATATCAAATTAAAGCAGAAAAAAAATTATCTCTCAATTTTTGAGGGATTTCTCGAAATTCACTTTCTCGAGTTGAGCAACTTGCAGCGGCGTTGCCAATGTTAAAGAGAGAAAATGTCAGTTAAAATAAAATAAGTCATATCAGCGAAATTTTCTAAATGGTGACAACACTGTAAATCTTTTTTGCAGCTTTGACAATGTGGAAAAAATGAGATTCGACGGTTCGAACGCAGCGGTTTTTCAGAAATTTTTGAGTTCGTGGTTTGTAAACCGTTTGTAAAACATGTTTGGTTTCACCGCAAATTCTACGTAGCGTTCAGCAGAACAATCGCAAAGCGTTTACCAACGGCCAATAAATAAACAAAATCCTTGCTAGTAGAGACACAGTGCCGGTTTTGTAACCAAAGTGACGTCATTGGGAGACCCAGTTGACCATATTGAAATCCTCTAGCGCTTCCTTTGCAGAACCGACATTCTAAATTTTATAAAAAATTCTTCTTTATTTTGAGTGCCGGTGCCGGCTCTGCAACCAAAATGACGTCATTGGGCGACCCAGTTGGTCATATTGAAACCCTCTAGCTCTTCCTTTGCAGAACCGACATTCAAATCTTATAAAAATGTCTTCTTCATTTTGTATGTTTCATTTAATTACTGTTTTTGGTTCTATTGTTGTTATTTCGGAAGCCATTGAATGAAATTGGTTTGTAAATGTTGATAATTTAAATAATCAAAATCCTTGCTAGTAGAGACACAGTGCCGGTTCTGCAACCAAAATGACGTCATTGGGCGACCCAGTTGGCCATATTGAAACCCTCTAGCGCTTCCTTTGCAGAATCGACATTTAAATCTTATAAAAATTTCTTCATCATTTTGTATTTTTCATTTAATTACTGTGTTTGGTTCTATTGTTGTTATTTTGGAAGCCATTGAATGAAATTGGTTTGTAAATGTTGATGATTTAAATAATCAAAATCCTTGCTAGTAGAGACACAGTGCCGGTTCTGCAACCAAAATGACGTCATTGGGCGACCCAGTTGGCCATATTGAAACCCTCTAGCGCTTCCTTTGCAGAATCGACATTTAAATCTTATAAAAATGTCTTCATCATTTTGAATTTTTCATTTAATTACTCTGTTGGTATTTTGGAAGTGAAATTAGTTTATAAATGTTGATAATTTCGAATAAATATTGGCTACGTTCACCAGAACCAAAACGGATTGTAAACAGTTTACAAATACCAATAGAATACGTTGGGTAAATTCTTGGTTCTGCTGTTTGTTTGTTTCAACACAAAGTGTTGAAATTTATAAACACTCCTAAATTATGTTTGCAAAAATGGCTGAAGACAAAACGTCGAATTTTAAATTTAGTAGCACCATCTTCTAAAGGGGAAAAAGTGACTGATGAAGTGACATTTATTTTAAAATTGCTCTTCAAATAAGCCCAGGAAAAAATAAAAACGCTTTTACAAAACTTCGGTTTTTTCCGAATTAGGCAATTCAAACCACGTGACATTCAAGATGGCGTGGCGGCCACACATGGGCCAAAAAACACAAAAAAATATCTAGTTGCTGCCGGAATTAATAGTTCAAGTACCTAAGTCAACAAATATTTTATTAAATAATGAAAATCAAAATTGTAAGCAAAACTGTATGCAAAATAATTTAAAATACGCATAAAAACATATCCAAAACAAACTTGCTTGGCCGCCACGCCATTGAATTTTCCATTTTGACAGATGGATTGAATTGCCTAATATCTCCGGAAGTATCCGGAATCTTTCTAGATTCAAAACGGCACTCTATTGGTCATAAAATTGCGCAACTTTGCCATAATTTAACCGACCCCGTATATCTTACGGTTACCGGTTACCGAGATCCCAATGATGAGGCTCGAATTTGGGCCACCCTGTACACATTGTTTCCAATTGAATTTGTTCATTTCGTGACATCGTTACCTCATTCTGTGAACCGCAAACAATTCCAAAGCTTTTTATTATCGTTAGGGCTCTAAAAAGCGTTATTACATTTTCAAAGAATTTAAGTGTGTGAACGCCCCCTAAAAGGCTGAAACATTAACGGATATATTGCACGAGACCTCGTCCATTTCCTGGATTATTATTCTACCACTTTGAGCTTTGGCAACTTATCAAAACAGCTGTGTAAAAATTTTCCCCCGAGATCAAGTCCGATTATTAATTCAGAGGCTCTATCGATTTACGTGCTCAGTTTTGTTACGATTCATGATTTATTTGCTTCCGGTTCGAGTAACGTTTGTTTTATTTAATTTTTGGTCACGATCTCGATTTTATCGCACTTTTTGCAACTAGTGCGCATATAGATGGACAATGCTGCAAACGTCAACTGCTGTCAAAGAAGTGCGCACATCAAAATCGCCAAAAAATAAAATCTTTTGGTTCTGTGATCTTTTGGCGTTTTGGATTGGTAAATTTATTGCTCACGAGGTGTATTACCATGTTTTTCTATCAGTCTATTAAAGAGACAGATAGTCGATAGAAATACTTCTACCCACCGGAAACGCCATGCAACTTCCGAAGACAAGTGACAGTTTTGACAGAAATTTAAATTGACTGTCACCAAAAAAAAAACCGTTTTTTTCTTTTCTTTTTGTTCAATTGATGATAATTAATTTTTGTTTTTTTTTTCAGTTCAGTAAATGGCTGGGAACCCCTCGTTAGTCGACGCCCATGTTCGACCCCCCAGTCCCCCCTTGATTCCGCAACGGCGACCTCCACCCTTTCTAACCCCTCATCCACTGTCTACGGCTAGTTTTTCTACCATCACCATCAACGTACGATTTAAAATACCAACAAATCTTTTAGCATAAAAAAAAAATTGTTTTATTGTTTGTTATTTATTTCTTGATTTTTTTTTTTGGTACACTTTGAAAGACTTCTACCTCTCGCATTTTGTATTACGTATGGAATAATAGTTTTTTAAATTTTTACGAGTTTTTTACTTGTTTTCTAGCGCGTGTACACACCTTAAGTGGCCTTAAAATCCCTTTTACCTGAATAGATTTTAGTCTTATTTGTAAATTTTAGAGAAATATTTATTGTCTCTTGTTAAAAGTGCCTTTATACATTTTCTTTTAGAGTGAATTAGAACGGGCTGGTACCGTTACTTAACATAATTAGTTTTAAATTGCAAGTAAAACATATATTTTCTAATACGCGTAAAATACCGTTTTTCCTTACCTCCTTAACCTGTCATCTTCTTCAACTTCCTTGCGAACGTGTGATAAAAAATGGGCGGTCGACGTTCCTTCAGAGCCTCAAAAAGATCTCAAATAATTGGTAAGTATCAACTTGACTTACATATAGGTTTAATTCTTCAATGATGATTTTGAAAGTTTTTAAGACTTCGCAAAGTCTTTGATTTTATAGAATGAAGACTCTCGATGTTTGGTTGCTTTAGGACCTAAGACTCTTCTAAAGAAAATTAAATGCTAGTCTCAAGTCTTATGACTAGAGTCTTTAATATCCCAGACATACCTACAATACTAAAGTCTTTTACGATTCGATAACTTTGAAGTCTCGTTTTCACAGAATATAGAAGAAAACTGCTAAGTTTAAGATTCTTAAATCGCCAAAAAGCCTATAAATTCTCTACAGAATTCAAAGATCCTGAAAGCCAAAGATTCTAAAGACGCGTACGTATAGATTGGAAACTGTAAAAAGAGCGTTTCGGTTTGAGGTGAAGGAGGAGAAAAAAACGATATAGAAATAGACAGTTGCATGATAGAAATATTAGTCCGCATATTTGCCGTTGTTCAATTGTCGCTAGTCGCATATTAAGGACTGAAAATTTTAAAGTTTTTACTTAATCAGTCCATGAATCTAAAAAGCGACTTCTAATGATTATGAATGGACATTTCCAAAGATACAAAAAAAAAGACTAAAAACCTATAGATTTTGGAGATATTGAAAACTTGAACTTTACTCCTGATTTAGGAGACAATTAAAAAAAAAAACACTGGAGATTTTGGAGATTTTAGAGCTGGATGTCCTTGATAAAATCTCAAAACAGAATAACTTAATAATTTCTTATATACCAGATATCTTGACATTTGTACATATCGAGCACAATATACTGTTTGAATAATTGAAGCGTTTTCGTACTGTGGGAAAACAGACAGTTGGATCCCGAAGGAAAAAAAAAACAGAACGTGGAAACGTCGCGGTCGGTTTCGCGAAACGTTCTTCCCTAAATTCTTAATGAGTTTGAAATAATAAAGTGAGGATTATTTTTCCATTTTATTGAGGTGACGTTATGTTATAAATTCAATATTGATATTTTTTGTGTGTGTCCACATCAATTGATTGTGAATTATTTTCACTAGACTGTCTCAGTCGTGTGTCAATTTGCTGCACGCAACATGCTCGACCCTCCAATCAAAGTTCCACTTTTTTCTCCAGATAAAATACGGTATCCGCCAAAATAAACAGTACCGAAATCTAGAGCTCTGAGTAATTGCGCACGCAAGTTGCATTGATCATATTTCGCTTACTTGGCATTAGTTATGAGGTTGACATTAAGTTAGGGTTAAAATCTTCGTCATTATGTATCAACTTAAGAAACAGTTTTCTTAGTAGAGCACCATTTCCGGTCATACGGATTTGGAAGAAATGAAAGCTCAAGTTTGAAACAAGTCTCAGAAAAATTTCAGCAACCACTCTTTAATAAATATTTTCAATGATTTGCAGAATCGTTATGAAGCTCTTTTGCGTCGTTATGATGCATTTTTTGAACATATTCGCATACAAATAAATAAATGATATAATTTGTATGTTCGGTGCTGTTTATTTTGGCGGATACTCTATTTGAAAATTAAAGCAAACCTTGCAAATGATAGGATTGGGGGATTATCAGTGCTGACTTGCTGACAACCACCTTATAGATAAGCAGTTTTTTTTGCTATTAAAATTTTATATATCCTGTTTACTTTGTACTTTTATCATAATTTTATGATAGATAACAATATTTTATCCACAATATTTCAATGAAATATTTTGTATTTTAGCAATTATTAATCCATTCAGGTATTGTCCGGCCAACGAATCTGAAGCTACGGCTACGGGGCATCCGAGTGAAAATACATATATTGATATTTTCTCATATAGGTACAGGGTGTATATTTTAAGTGATACCACTATTGCTATATCCGAAACGGTAAGAGCTAAAAGGTCGGTTAAATTATAAAAAAGCTGCCTTTTTTATGCCTAGTTAAGACTCGTTTACAGTGTTGCCAAATTCCTTCTAGTTTATCAAATACAGGTTCATAACTAGCAAGGATATTAAGGATAATACCAATGACATCTTAACACAGATAGACACCGCATCTCATTCATAAACTGATGTTTGTTGTGATGACAAGACCCCCCATGGGCCAGAAGAGATGAGCTGCTCGAGGGGGGTCATGGTAGGGATGCATCATGGGTGTAAACAATACCCGTTTTTTCCTCTGAACCCGCCATTGACTTGACCAAAATAATCAAGAAATGCGCACAACTGCAACTCGTTCATCTATCTGTCTGCCTCTAACTCATGTGATGTAAGTTTTATAGGCGTGTTGCCATGCCAATCGATTGCAGTGTGTGTTCCACCTGTGTTACATAACCGGCGTTGTCAGTAGTCGTTTTTAGTCTTGAAGCTCCAACTTTTTGAAGCAAAGTCATAACAGGATAAAATATCAATCCGTGATAATTTGGCAACCAAATTGGAGGGGATGCACCGGCGGTGGATTGATCTCCGAGATGTCGGCGACACAAAATTTTGTTTACTGTAATGTCTATCTGTGTTAATATGTTATTGGATAATACGCACTACTAGGGATTGCTTATCGGCCTCGTTTTTGGTAATCGCCGCCATATTGGTGTGTCACCATTTCCGACGTCATAGCCAAGTCGTCAGCTGTTTGCACTAGCGGTCATAGTTTAGAATTTAAATTTATGAAGATTATAGGATTTTCACGCTATATTTAGGATGACGTCACATTTAGTAAATTTCTGCTGCAAATTTAACAAAACTAAAAGTACTTTTTAACGTTTTTAAAGTAGGGGAATTTCAGATGTTTCTGGTTGGCAACGGCGCGCGATGTTGCATGATTTAAATGAACATTTTCAAATAAATAACGCGTGTCGATTCATTTCGTTATTTTAAGCTGCCACTGGTTTTGATAATTCATTATGACATTCTGGTAAATTATAAGAAAACAAATAGGCATTGACAACATTGTCAGTCCTTGTTCTCTGACGTCAGCCTAAATATAACGTAAAAAATCTATATTATTTAATTTTGATTAACCTAATAGGTAAATAGGAAGATGGAAACGAGATCTAAAAAAGAGTTGTTTTAGAATGTTAATTAAAGTAGTAAAACCAAGTTTGCATAATTGCATAAAGCAAAAGTCCGCTGAATCATAACCTGTGGTGCAAACAGCCTACGTCAAGGCGAGAAACGACATGCTGCCTACGTCACAGCTGGTGATTTGGTGTGGTGGGTGGCTTCAGATTTGTTCCACACAGACGTTATGAGGATAGGTTATCCTGTAGGAGTAGCACAGCATATACAAAAACAATCAGCAGGCTAACTCTCACGCGCATCTTTTCTGCGCACGCCGCCATTATGGGATACCATCCTGTCACTAAACGGCAGGGACGCCGAAATTTTATTTTATTTGTTTATTTCTGACAGAGGTCATAGGCGTGCGGTGTAGGGCGGAATTTTAGTTATAATTTTCAAAGTGATTTTAGTATATTCGTGTTGTCATTTATGGTGTTATCTGTTATCATTGTTGTATATTCAATAATAATGATAAATTACTAATTATAAATATTAGTATATGTAAGTAATAATAAATTAGTTTATTTAAAACGAATACGACTCTGTGACACGGAAGAAAAAACCTAAATTATTGTTAATCAGGCCCTGTCTCGTATCCCAAAATGGCCGCTATGACATAAAAAATCCAGGTCCGTATTTAAAAAAATGCAGTTGATGATGGTAGCTCGATCACGAAACGTCGGATTTAAAATTTAAAGATGCCATGTTGTAGAACGGAAAAAATTATAAAGTAAGATAAGAGGTAAAGACTAAAGAGGGAGGAAAAAATTATATGGAAATACACAGTTGCAATGGAATAGAGCGTGATAGAAATATTAGTTCGCATATTTGCCAGTGTTCAATTCTCGCTGGTCGCACAATAAATAACGATATGAAAAAAAAGTAGAAGTTTTTGAAGAAATATCGTATTGATAGCTATAAATATCGATAACCGCTCCTCAGTGTCAAGTGTCACTTTGTTTTAGAATACGCTCCCAGTTGAAATGTTCTTCGCATTGGGGTTCTTCGTGCAGTGACTAAATAATCACAAATTAACAGGTGCTTACTCGGAACGTTACGCTGGAATCGTTCAGAAATCGAGATTTGACGTGCCCAGAGTACGCCCAAATTACCCCACTCAGGGACTGGGTTGAAAAACGCCCTGCGGTTTTTACCGGGTTTGACGTGATTTTAAGATTATTTTCATTATGATTATTATATCTACATTAATGTTAGATCTACCTACATTAGATTGTCTCCTTAAATCTTTAGGCTAAAATTGCTAACAGCTCCTCATAAGCCGCCCTGGGTAACCCGAAAATGCGTTTGAGACAGTTGATCAGAATAATTAGCAACCACCCTTTCTATGTAGGTATAGTTCAATGCGAATCGGCTTTTTTTTCTTGGATAAGTTGGTCCTCTTTCTACATTGATTCAACAATAGGATCAATCCCTCCTCACTATCTGAAGCACTTTCTTCAGATGAATGATGTTCCAGCAAGACTTCGTTTGATAAGAACATATTACGTGCACTTCTCACCAGTGAAATGACTTCTCACTAATGTCTCACTACCATTTTATTATAAGCTCTATTCATGTGGCTCCGGTTTAACTAACCGGGTTACAAAACGGTTAGAGAAATGACATGCCGTTTTCTAACCCGGTTACAAAGTGACGTGATGGATACCTACCACTCGAATTTGAGCGGTATGTTGCGGTTTGTTAAACCGGAGCCACGTGAAAAGGGTTTAATTGTCTACTTTACGTGTAGACAATGGTAGACAATCCTTTCCGAAAATTATTTTTAATTTATTATCGATTTTCCTCATATTTATAATCAGTGAATGCTGATATCAAAGTGATAGGTATTAGCTACTTGGGTAGTAGTAGTTTTGGATCTTTTTTTGAATTTTCTAAAATGGGTTTATTGTTTACGCCACATGTAGACAATGTGTAGACAAATGCCCACGTAAACAATTCGAATTGTCTACGCGTAGACAATCAATTGTTTACGTTGACATTGTCTACAGGCACATCACTGTTGGCAATACAATGTAAAATTGTCAATGCTTTCAAATTTTTTATGTAGAAAAGGTTTGTGTTGCCAACATCCAACATAGTTACTAAATTTTTGACTTGGGGAATTAATTATCTTTAAAAAAAAAACACATTTTACATCCTCAATCAATCTGGGCCGGTATTCTTGTTCTCGAAAACGCTCACCACTTTTTAGTCACTCGGCACTTTTAATGTAAATTTACATTAGAAGTGGCGAGCGACTAAAAAGCGGTGAGCGTTTTTGAGAACGAGAATACCGGCCCTGGTAGCGAAGTGGCACTTCGGCACGCGTGCTGGGAAATTGATACCCATCCTCAATGCTGTCAATTTTCAGTCCTGCTGTGCGTGTAGTACGGTCACGAACCGTGCGTTCAGTATTTTGATCTGAGTTCTCCGAGCATAAATTTACCGTTCGTTTATTCAAAAAGTATACTTGGTGCAGGCTCATTCATGTTCGTTTATTAAATTTTCGAGCCCTCTGATACAGCGTTTAACTGCTCTGTGCGCTCGCTGGTCACGTGATTACAGCTCCGCTCTGCATGCTCTGCTCTTCGAGCAAAATACCGAAAGCAAGGATAATCTGAATTATTTTTTACCGTACTGCGCATGACACAAGTCGACACGCATCGAAAAATCTTGCAGCTTGCACTCCGGAGTCGGCGTGCATGCTAGCACGGAATTGAATTGAGGATGCCAACGTTAAACAACAAGTGACCACGTTTATCTCGGGCCGTTCGATCGGATCTAATGCATCCGATAGAAACTCCATCCACTTGAAAAGAGCGAGATAAACGCTGACGCCTGATTTTGAATCGGATGGAAGTCTTTAAATCAATCCTGTTTTTCAATCGGATTGGACTTTCTAATCCGGATCGAAATCCTTCCTTTTTACGACAGAAACGCGATTCAAATGACACTTGTCAGCTGACCTGAAAAATGGTAAACACCTCTAACCCTAACCTGACTTTTTGTTATTTATTTTCTTGTTATTGTTATGAAGTGTAAAAAGTAAATTTTTGAAAATATGAGTTCTCTTCTTCAAAAAACAGTTAAACTGCGAAAAAGAAACATTTGGACTTCTGAAGAAGTACGTTTTTTCTTGTCCTTGATAGAAGAAAAACAGGTACTAGGCCTAATGGATGGGAAACGCATTAGAGTTTCCGATATTTTTAAAACTCTAATTGCACCCATGAAAGAAAGGGGGTTCATCAGGGATGTAAACCAATTGTCCGTTAAATATAAAAATTTAAAAGGTTAGTATAATATTCATTAAATAATTTATTATATTTTAATTTCAATTTTTATTATTTTTGGTCCTGCTTTGTGCAGTTTCCGTTACCATGCGTACCTAACCGAGAAGCATTAAATACTTTGATTTTAGCTGACTACTACAGATGTAAACGACACAATGCTATTAGCGGTAATGATTATATTCAGTGTGATTTTTACGCCGAGTTGGATAATCTTCTAGGAAATCGTCCCTTATCCCAAGTGGATGGTGATCAATCTATGGGTTTTCAGAGTATAACCGAAGTGCCAGGTGAGTGAGACTTCACCATTACATTACCCTCAATAATTATTACTATTAATTTTTTAAATAAAGTTCACATTGACCTTATCTTAACAAAAGAAAGATGCATAATTATTACTGGCCGCGTGCTCATAATGTGTAAATGTTTAGTTTTAGTTGTTGATGAAAATGACCCTGATATTATCAACAGAATCGAACCAAATGTGCATATTGAAATGTACGAAGATGCTCCTGACATAGATGGGGCAATACCTGGTTGCTCTAAGGACCCAGACACTCCAAAAACTACTGTTAAGGATAACTTACCTACAACCACGCCAAAAATATCAAAAAATGTTATAAAAAAGAACAGAGATTCGAAAAAGACTCAACAACAATTACTATTAGAAACGCTAGATAATAATAGGAAAGAAGATGCAGAAAAGGACAGAGAGCTTTTAGATCGGTTGTCAAACCGATCTGAACAAATGATGCTCAACTGTACAAAAATGTTCCTATCTGGATTAGAAAAAATAATGAAAGGCAAAGAAAAGAAAAGAAAATATGAAGTTACCAGCAGTGCTGAGGACTCAGATGAGGATTAGTTTTTATTCTTTGAAAAAATTACCAACAAGCTAGATTTTTATATAATGTGTTTTAGCATTTTAATTAAACAAAGTAGGTATATTTTTTTCACCCTATTTCATTTTTAAGAAATTAGTGCAAGAATGTGAAAACAAATCTGTTTTCAGAAATTTAGCTTGTTGGTAATGTTTCCCAAATTTTTTGTTAAATATTTATTTTCAGTTTAGAGAGATTAATTTAGTTTGATTTTGACCAAAGAGATAAGTACTGTTTATTTTGAAAATCATGTTTTTGTGTTTATTAGTTTTTTAAGAATTGAGTTAGGATAAAAGTAGAGTTTAATTTTTTTTCTGTGATTTTGTTAACAAGTTTTCCTTTGGTAGTTATGGTTCAATAAAAAAAGCATAAAAAGAACTTATTTTATTTCTTATTAATACATACATATTTTGAAAAATTACGATTTTTGTGTTTCAATCAATCAATCAAAATATAATTTATTGTCGGAAAATAAATTTCATTGACAAAGCATGATCTTAAATAATGTGCAAGTAATTAAAAATTATTGGGTTATAAAAAAAAAGAGGTAAGGTCTGTTTTTTTTTTTAAAGATAATTCCCCAAGTCAAAAATTTAGTAACTATGCTGGCAACACAAGCCTTTTCTACATAAAAAATTTGAAAGTTTTGACAATTTTACATTGTATTGCCAACACAATGTCATTTTGACTTTTATCTTTAAAAAAAAAAAACAGATTTTACAATCAATAAAATAAAAAATAAACATAAACATAAATTTCAAAGCACAATCCTAAGCAACACATGTACAATTTTTACTACATCAAACTATAGAGTCATATAGAAGGTACAGCCAATACAGAAAAAACATAAAGGTTGCGGTCAGAACAAAACAAAACAATGAAACGAGCAAAATTAAAATTTTTCATTTAAAAATTCACTAATGTGATAGTAGGCTTTTCCATGTAAAGATGTTTTGAGCTCTAGTCTAAACTTTTTAAAAGCACCTATCTGCCTTAAGTTAACAGGCAGATGATTAAAAATTTGCCTACTTTTATAAATTAGTGAATTTTGCGTCAATGCAGTCTTGGGTATAGGGAGCTGAATTTTAAGAAGTTGCCTAGTTGGATAAGTTCTTGGATATTCTAACTCATCATAATGTTTTTTGTGCATAAGGCAAGCAGTTTCCATGATAAATATACAGCATACTGTAAGTATTTTATGTTTTAAAAATAGTGGCTTGCAATGCTCCCAATATCCAACCTTACACAAATAGCGCGTTTTGAAATATTATCTACATATAATATACAGGGTGTCCGGAAAATAGTGTAAAAACTATTCAGAGTGGTGGAGGACCCTTCAAAGAACCCCAGAAAAATAATTCGAAAAATCTAGTGGCATTAGAGATTTTGCAATTTTCATAATGCGTTTTAAAGGTTAACAACAATTTTTATAGGTAAATCATTAAAGGATATGAAACAAAAAAACATTCCATCCACATTCCACATTTACCTCTTCATATTACCCAGAATGGACGAGGAGGATTTTTCTAATTATTTTTCTAGGGTTACTCAAAGGATTCCCTACTACGTAGTGGAGAGCTTTTACACTATTTTCCAGACACCCTGTATAAAAATTAACCAACACTTTTGACACTATAGCATGGTTCGACGCAATGGAAAGTTCTGTGCTAAATATTCGCTAATGCATATTCGGGAGATATACCCTTCAAACTCATGGTAAGTTGGACACTGGCGAATACCTGGCTGTTCAAATGTCAACTCCAGCTCTTCCACAGCTGTAGTCCAATTTTCCATAAATTTATCCTCGAATGTTTCCACAATATTATGGAGAGTGCAACAAGTGGCTATTACCTCGGGTACAAATGAAAAGTGCATGTCATTGCGTTTCATCAAACACCTCCATCTTGCCTTTAGGCGACCAAAAGCAATCTCTATTGCGACTCTGGCAGAATTCATGTGGACATTGAAAGATTCTTCAATAGGTGTGAGATTAGGCCCAGAATAACTTTTCAGTAGCCAAGGTAAAAGAGGATAGGCTGGATCTCCAATAATCACATATGGCAGATCTTCTCCATTCACAGAAACTGTTTCCTAGAAGTAGATTTATTTTGAGATAAATGATGAATATTTTTTTAAATTGGACATAAACATTAGTAGCATGCTATGTATACAAAGATAGGTGTACATAGCATCCACTTTTCACACAGCGAGCAGCTGTAATTTTCTATAATGCCTAAATACTTGAATATTCAATTAAATAATTTTAGATTGCTTATCACTGATTTAATTGAAAAAGACTGTTAGGTATTTAAGGAATCATCTTTAATTTAACACAAGATCTTACCTTTGGAAGCAGTTTATCAATATTTTTATAAATATTTGATGCCAAAAGAGCTGCAAAATCATGACTTCTCCCTGGCTGTTTGATGGAAATATCTATGAATTTATATTTTGCATCCACAATACCCTGCAGAATCCATGATGCCCAACCTTTTCTATTTATAAAATCCCTATATCCCTCAGATGGCGGTAATATGGGAATGTGAGTGCCATCAATTGCTCCTATAATATTGGGGATTTTACTTTTGTGCTGAAATAGGCTTGCCGATTGTTTTGCCTCTGCAGAGTTGGGGAATCTAATATGTTTTGGTGTCAATATTTTATTCACTGCATTGACAAACTGGTACACCACTTTGCAGACAGTGGACTTTTGGATCCCAAACTGGTTCCCAATCACTCTGTATTCTGCACAGCTAGCCAAGAAATATAGACTCACAGCTACTTTCTTCTCTACTGTCATTAATTTGGCATACTTCCAATACTGACTTAAAATATTAGGCTGAGGAGCTAAAACTTCTCTCAGTTGGTCACATAAATACATAAATGTGTTTTGTGAAACCCTGAAATTTTCCAACCATTCTTCTTCAGATAATTTGTTTCTTAGTACGACTTCTTCCCACCAATGAAAACTCCGAATTTTGTTTTTTCTCCTTGGTTTCCTATTTTTCATGTTTGAAATAAAAGCCAGATTCCTGCAAACAAATTAAGTTTATATTATTTTTGCCAAAAAAAAATAGGTATTCAATAGACCAATAATAGGTGTACTGAAACAAAATGCCCTGACTTACCTGGTAAAGTTACGCTGTCTTCTTCTTGTAATTGCACTTATTGCAGCCAATCTATTATTTTCATGTTGCCTTTGTAGCAACAAAATAAATAAAAAGCATGCGGCAACAAGTTTATTTTTTGTTGTCGATTTCATTTTGCCACTAAATTAAGCACCGAAAGAACGCGATCGTTAATAAAATCGTTATAAAATACAACCTAGACAAAGGCAAAGGACCCGCCAAAATTCCAAATTTAGGTTAAAGTGTATATTGTCATTGCATGAAAATGCATCTTCTTTTTATGTAAAAATCAGAAACTGCTTTCCCCTTTCCCCTCTCATGAGAATTTGCTACAAATTTAATAAAAAAGAAGATTTTTTTGCTTTGTCTAATTCAACCGGTCTCTTTTTATTTATATCCGATGGAAAAAAAGGATTTATGAATCGGATAATTCATTTTATGAGAGAAACGAAGATTCACTGGATCTGATCAAGTCGATCGGATCAGGATTTTACGAGATAAACGTAGTCACTGTCTTAGCATGCGTACCGAAGTGCCACTTCGCTACCAGATTGATTGAGAATGGGCCTGAGGGATTTTACACACTAACACCACTACTACAGGATAGCTTATCCTCATAAGGCCTGTGTAGATCAAATCTCAAGCACCCCACCACGCCAAAGAACCAGTGATGCCGTAGGCAGCTTGTCGTTTTTCGCCTTGACGTAGGGTTTTTGCACCGAAGTACGCACCATTAGCAAGGCGTAATCCTATCCGTAACCGCATGGGCCTCTTTGGCAACGGCGATCATGGCCGTATGTATTGTTCGTCGATTTTTAACTGATACTTGCGGTATGAGGAGCGAGGGGGTGTTTCATATGGCAAAAACAGGTGTGACGTCAGGTAACCATTGGCGTTCTAATGTAGGGAGCCACCAGCTCACATTCCGTCCGAGTATCAGATTAAAATCGACGAACAATATTTAAGAAGAGACAAAATTCAAGAAATCATTTATTAAATAAGAATTCATCTAACAAACACATCAACATATTTAATGTTTTCTTTTTATCTATATTTTGTTATTAAATAATGGATTTGCCGTCGGAATATTTTCTCGCTACTAGTGGCGCCATCTCTTATCGACGACTAAAAACGTTAAACTCATTTATTTTTGACTGACAGAAATCGAAGTGGAAAATGATAGTTGATGGCAAGGCGATGACAGTTTTTTTTTTCAGCTGGAAATTGATAGAAAAAAAATGTAATTTTCCGCCTTTCCACCAATTTTCCGGAATATTTTTAAGCCCCAAAGTCTCGTTAGCAGCAAATAATCAATCCTGTCTCTACTGAAGATGTGCTAAAAGTAAAAACTGTATTTTTTTTTTTAAAAAGAGTATTATTTGAAGTTATTCCAATGCATTTAGTTAACGGTACTGAAAATTAAGCTTTAAATTTACAAATGAAAATAAGCCAACCAAAATTATGGATTTCGAACTCGAAGTATTTGAGGTGTACGATGAAACCGAGCCCCACACTTCGTCCAGAAAGCACACGAAACATACAAGGAAAAAGTGCAAACTGAAAGGCAAAGGGGCTTCTGCTGGCATAGAAGAAGACGTGAACGATATAAGCAAGTCGAAAGCCAGCGTTGTCAAAGGCGATAGGCGGCATTTGAGCTTCAGAGAATCTATCCTGAATATTTTTAGTAAATTGGTGATTCGGAGGGGAAGTTCCAGGTATAGGGCTGCTGTGGCTGAGAAACTGGATTCCCCGCACACTTCTAGGGATTATAGGAAGAGTTATGTACCATGCGGTAAGAATTTTCATAGTTTACATGAAGAATAAATTAAAGACAGCAAATACCTAATACATTTTTATAGGTATGTTCATCTAATTTCGGTCTATAATCCTAGTACCCCTCAAGCCTGAAAGAATATTGAAAACTTACATTTTCTGCCTATATAGAGAACTGTTATAACAAAACCATGCATATGTTAGGCTTTGTCAAGAGAAATACTAAAGATTTTATAAATATAAACAATAAAATTATTATACACATCTCTAGTTAGGTCTCAGCTAGAAAACTTTTTTGTCATTTGGAATCCATTCTTTCAAACCTATGTTAAAAAGTTAGAAAGTATGCGGAGAAAGTTTCTAAAATATATTGCTTTTAGGAAAGAGTTATCATTTGACAATTTAAACTCTATGCTATACACTATTAGAAAAGACCATAGATTTGCACAGTATCGTTCGTATTGAAATTTTACAGAACTTCCTATGGCCAGAATTCTCTTCTCCTCTGACCAGGATAATGAGAATGGCAAATTCATTCAATGGTAATCTATGTAACAAAAGTCTCAATGCCTTAAGGCCGGGACACATCTATCATGCATTCTTCCGATCCGACTCCGATCATACAATCACGGTCCTTATTCTTGGAACAGGGAGCAGCGTCCCTAGGAGAACGAGTGTTCCGCTGCTCCCCTGTTCCAAGAATAAGGACCTTGATTGTATGATCGGAGTCGGATTGGAAGAATGCATGATAGATGTGTCCCGGAGTCAGTCCCAGCCTTTAAACTTGAAAAAAAAAAAACTCTGACCTTCTGATATCTTTATTAATTTAGGTTTTATTAATGGATTAAAATATGGTTGCCAAAATCTGTATTCTTTGTTGGTTCATTATGGTTTCATAAGTCGTCAAATTGTCCAATGTTCTATTCTTTATTGTGTTAACTTTGTATTTAGTATGTTTGTACTTGTTTAAGTTAAGAATAAATTAATAAATAAATAAAAACCACTGAAAAAATTGAATGCCTCTATTAACATTTTTTTTTGTTACTTTAGTTCTATGTAAATTAAGAAAAAAACAGAAGGAGTGCCAGATTTACTAAAAATTTCTATTGGGTTTTCGCGGGTTTTTGTGATAGTTTTTGTGTTGAAATCCTGATGTTCGTGCACAAACCGCTGATTTATTAAAACCCAATCAAAACTGAAAAATTGTGCCTGGAAAACCAACTTAATTCACTTAAAAATAGCAAACAATTTATTAGGCCTTGACACCCAATTCTGTTCTAGGATTGAGGGGTTAACAATGAATTGTTTTTGTATAGGATGCACATCATATTGAAATTTATTTATACATTTATGAACATTTATATAGATTTTGAAATTTAAATCCAAATAATTGCCTACTGATAATTGAAACAATATTCTTTCCAGGCAATAACAAATTCCATAAGTGAATATTAAAGTAAATATGCATGTGTGAATTCTATATTAACCTGCTATTGTCTTTGTAGATTTTGGTACGTTAATAAATAAATCATAAGCCATTATCCACACTAATGTGGACACAAAGAAAAATAACAGACAACATAATGAAGTTAGACACTTTGACGTCGATAATAATGTTAATAAGTTTATAAATTTATTTTTACTGATTTTGAATAATGCAAATACATTTTTCCAGGTCTAAATAATTGTGTTAGGTTTATCGAGGAAATATCCTTTTTCAAACTACATAAATTATCCACATTTCACTATTTTCGTTTCAAATAGTTGGCAGTGATTTTGCAATAAAATTACACCTGGAAGAATTTACTACCAAGCAATATCCTCTGCCAAGCAACTTAATTGAAAACTGCTTAACACATAAATTGAACTATTTATTTTCCATTCCAGATAATCAGAGAAGAATCCACGCCAATGATAGAGCATTTAATTCCCAATTTAGATACGCTGTAAGTAAATTTGTAGCAATTTAAAAAAAAAAAAGTGTATTCAACTTTCAATGTTGTAGAGTAACTACATTAAAACTTCAAAGTACTCGGTCCTGACCTTTTTGCCACTGAACCTGTTCGAACAGTTCCAGCGGCTAGCCAACTTCTACTTCTTGTGCCTTTTGGTGTTGCAACTGATACCGGCCATCAGCAGTTTGACACCTGTCACTACAGCCCTACCACTAATCGGAGTGCTAGGGCTTACGGCTATCAAAGATGCCTATGACGATATTGTAAGTGTACAAATTCAAATTGGTAGTTCTTCAAATCATTTGATTCTTTTTAAGCAACGTCACATTTCTGATTCTCACGTTAACAATCGAAAATCGCGGGTGGTACGTAACGGTAAACTAGTCCAAGAAAAATGGTCAGCTGTCCAAGTTGGAGACATCATCCGTATGGACAATAATACGTTTGTTGCTGCTGATTTGCTGCTGCTCACCTCCAGCGAGCCAAATGGTTTGTGTTATATTGAAACTTCGGAACTAGATGGGTAATGATTGAATAAAATTGATTGTCTTTTGAAGTTGAATGTTTTTTTTTTAATAGGGAAACCAATTTGAAATGTCGTCAATGTTTGGTTGAAACAGCAGAAATGGGCCAAGATGACGCGTTGATTAGCGAATTCGATGGGGAAATCGTTTGCGAACAGCCAAATAATCTTTTGAATAAATTCGATGGTGTATTGATATGGAAAGGCAGAACTTTTGCGCTGGATAATGATAAAGTAAATATCCATATCCATTAAAAAATAAATATGCCTCAATAAATTATTAAAATTGTAATAATAAGACTGCATTCTGGAACCTAATTGTTTGTATTCTCAAACGAGCCAGCTGACAAATATCTCGTAGAGAACTCTGATACTTGGTAATTTAAAATTGATTGATTTTGCTAAAAACGTTGAAGGTCAGATTTATATTTTTAATTTAGGAAATTATTATTTTAGAGTTTGGGTATCAATTTTTCAATTATTTATTTGACCCATTTGTAAAATTTTTGTACATTTGTTCAGACTTGACAATATTGAGTGTCTTATTTTATTTTTTTTTCTTTCAAGATAATTTTACGAGGTTGTGTATTGAGAAACACCGCCTGGTGTTACGGAGTGGTAATCTTTGCAGGCAAAGACACCAAACTGATGCAAAACAGCGGAAAAAGTAAATTTAAGAGAACTAGTATCGACCGTTTGCTTAATTTTTTAATTATAGGGGTGAGTTTTGCATAGACCCAATCGATTTTCATTGTATCGATTAAATTTTTGTTTTTCAGATAGTATTTTTTCTATTATCGATGTGCCTTTTTTGCATGGTGGCCTGCGGTATATGGGAATCGTTGGTCGGCCGCTATTTCCAAACGTTCCTGCCCTGGGATACGCTGGTTCCCTCGGAACCGTTAGGCGGAGCTACAATAATAGGTATAGAATATACCCTAGGTCATAAGTTAGTGGCAGTTGGGGTGGAACAAATTAAAGAAAAAGGTTTTTAAATGAAAAAGTATAGTTTTTATGGTTATTAATGACAGACTAAAAGTCCTATTAAAATATTGCAATTGCCAGTTTTAAGTCTTCCTTGTCTTCTTCATTTTCGTATTAAGTATGTGTTACTTTTCAGTTGGGTTTGTTTACTTCAAAGCTATTATGACTTGAATTGATTATTCCGAACCTCATATAATTCTATTGGTCGTCAGATAACTGGCCAATTTTTATCTGTCAGAGTGCATTATCTAACAGTTTATCAGAAGTTGAATAAACCGGGCCTTAAACTAGTAAGCGCAATCAAATGATAAATGAAAAAGAGAGCCATACTTTTGTGAATGGGAAACAGCTAGCAGATCCAATGAAAAACTACAAGACAGATTCTCAAGAATGAAGAATGACAACCAGCTCAACAGACATTTTTGAGGATGAGAAACTACACAATAAATTCACCAGAAATTCTTGAAAATGAGAAAACATTCCACCGAAATATCTGAGAATCATAAACCAAACAACAAATCTACCAAAGATTTTTGAAAATGAGAAACATCTAACAGAGATCTTTAAGATTGGAAAACAGCTCAACAAATATTTTTGCAAATGAAAAACAAACTAACCAGAGGGCTGGAACTCTGTAACGAATAGAGATATTTTCTCTATCTCTATTGACATCTCCTCTCTATTGATTTCGACAAGAAAAAAGAAGACAGCAAGTGCCATAGCGATAGGGATAACGATCCTTATCCGTTACAGAATTCCAGCCAGATTTGTTGAATTTTTATTCTTTGAAATTGGGAAACTATGACAGATTCAACCGAGATTCTTCATAATGAAAAACCAATAATAGATTCTCAAAAAATGACAACCAGTTCAACAAACATATCTTTGAAAATGAGAAACCACACAATAAATTCACCAGAATTCTTGAGAATGAGAAAACATTCAACAGACATATTTGAATATCAGAAACCAAACAACAAAATCTACCAAAGATTCTTGAGAATGAGAAACATCCAACATACATCTTTAAAAATGAAAAACAGCTCAACAGATATTTTTTTAAATTTAAAACAAACTAGCCAGATTCAACAGATTTTTATTTTCTGGGAATGGGAAACTACAACAGATTCAACAGAGATTCTTCAGAATGAAATAATGAAAAACTAATAACAGATTCTAGAGAATGACGATCAAAACAGACATCTTTGAGAATGAGAAACCACACAAATAAATTCACCACATATTCTTGAGAATCAGAGAACATTCAACCAAAATATTTGAGAATCAGAAACCAAACAACAAACCACCAGAGAGATTCTTGAGACTGAGAAACATCCAGCAAAAATCTTTGAAAATAAAAAAAAAACATCTCAACAGACATTTTTGCCAATGAAAAAGACTAGCAGACTCATCCGTTTTCTTTTTATTTATAGATTTCAACATAGAGATTCCCATTCATGAGTAATGATATTGTATTAGTAGGCCTTTATGTATTGACCAAGTGTCTAAATGGTATGGATTTTTTGGATAACCATAATTACAACTCAAATTTTAAATTTTGTAAACTGAATACAAAGTATAGAGAATATTTGAAAGTTTTCAACAAACGCGGATATTTTGGCAAGTCCAAAAACTTGAAAAATCCACAATGGTGTCGATGTTTCAAAACTTGCCATTGTCAGATTGGATGGGACATTCAATATATTATTTAGGACACCAGTCTCTTCAAATTTCAACCATTATACATTTGTCTTCAATTTGTTCCAGCTCACTCCACAAAATACACTAAATATCTTATTGCAAAAACTATATATTTTCCATTTTTGCAGCTCTTCTAGTATTTTTTTCATATGCCATTGTACTAAACACAGTGGTACCGATCTCACTGTACGTTTCGGTGGAAGTGATACGTTTTGTACAAAGTTTCCTCATAAACTGGGATGAAGAAATGTACTATAAAAAGTACAATACGTATGCTAAAGCTCGAACTACTACACTTAACGAAGAACTAGGTAAGAGTTATGTTCACTTGTGTGGTCAAATTTGATCCAATTATACATTATTGTGTCACATCAAAATCATGAAACTGACAGACTCCATTGATTTGATTTTTTTTAACTCACAGCACAGTACATCAACATAATTTATAGTTTTTCCTTGAGGTTCCTGAGACTTTAAGAAACCCTTGAATGCTTAAAATTGACATGATTAACTTATCAAATAGTAGCAAGTGTCCATTCTTAACTCAGAACCTGCAAGGAACGACTATAAATTCAGCTCTAAGTAGTTTTGGGCAAAATTAACATTTTTCCAGGTCAAATCGAGTACATATTCTCAGACAAAACCGGTACCCTGACGCAAAACATCATGACATTCAACAAGTGCTCGATAGGCGGCATTTCCTATGGAGACGTGATAGATCCGCGTTCTGGCGACATTATCGAAATCACCGATGACACTGAACCGTTAGATTTTTCTTTCAATACCAACTACGAGCCCGAATTTAAGTTTTACGACAGAAATCTAATGGAGGCTGTGAGCAGGCGCGAGAAGGAGACGTATGTGTTTTTTCGGTTGTTGGCGCTCTGTCATACCGTGATGTCTGATGTGAGTAACTTTTGAAAAGTTGCTAGATTTAAAATCTATAATATTTTATCTATAGCAAAGTGATGGTAAATTGGAGTATCAAGCCCAATCTCCAGACGAAGCCGCTCTAGTATCGGCGGCAAGAAATTTCGGATTTGTATTTAAAGAGCGAACGCCAAACAGTATTACTATAGAGGTATAAAACCCAATATACCCTGTTTTTGGTCGATTTTTACAACCTCTATTCCAGGTTATGGGCACTAAAGAAGTTTACGAGCTACTATGTATATTGGATTTTAACAATATCCGTAAACGAATGTCGGTCATTTTGAGAAAAGATGGCAAATTGACTTTGTATTGTAAAGGAGCAGATAATGTGATATACGAGAGGCTAAAATCCGGCCAAGATCAAGTTAAGGCTAAAACACAAGATCATCTTAATGTAAGAATAAGAATTATTACTTTTCCAATTCCAATTTATCTACTTATAAATATTTTTTTTTTGGGTTTCTAAAGAAATTTGCTGGTGAAGGTTTAAGAACATTATGTCTGGCCTATTGCGATTTAGAAGAGAATTTCTTCAACGACTGGAAACAGAGACACCAAGAAGCGGCCATAGCTCTAGAGGGGAGAGATGAGAAACTAGACTCGATTTACGAAGAAATAGAACGAGACATGCTCCTCATCGGAGTCACTGCTATAGAGGATAAGTTACAAGACGGCGTTCCTAGTACTATTGCCAATTTAATTTTGGCCGGAATAAAAATTTGGGTACTTACCGGAGACAAACAAGGTAAACTTTTTCAAGTTGCTAAAACAGCTGGATTTATTAATATTTTTTAGAGACTGCAATAAATATTGGTTACTCCTGCCAACTTCTTACTGATGATCTAGTAGACGTCTTCATCGTGGACGCCTCCGGCTATGACGAAGTCCAACAGCAACTTCTCAAATTTCGTGACAATATTAAAATCGTCAACACTTACCAGCCTCATTCTGCGCCTTCTACAGTGGACGGCGATTTGGACGCCATAGTCAAGGCTGAAAATGGGGTTGCTGGAACCAATGGAAATACCAGAATTGGACAAAGTTCTGGTGGGTCTGGCGGGCCTCCAGCTGTTAGCGTGGTGACGTTCAGGTGGGCTGGAATGACGGAAAACAAGTGCAAGAGAGCAAGGTAGAGGACAAGGGCCACTCACTAATGCTGCCTTTTAAATTAATAGTTTAGCAGCTATAGATTGGATAACTTGGTGACTAAATTTTTTTCCATTCGAGTTACTAACCAATCAGAAATTGCCCTTCACAATCACACATTTTTTAGAATGTAGACTGTTCAGGCTGAAGCGCAGTCAGCTGTTACACACTGTATGTAATTAATCGATTTTATTAATCTACCTCTGCTCTCTAATTCTGTAGTTTATGCTTGTTTAGATTTAGGATGTATGTCTTTAGTTGATACTGATATAGAATTGTCATTAAATTATGCCCTGATAGTATTTTTATATTTTTTTTTTTTTGCTGAAGACATTATTTGTTTGAATATTTTTGCCCACAAAAATTTACTTTATTATCCCTAATGATTCTCACAGTACCGAACTGGAATACTTGGGAGGCATCGAAGACCCGCACGTAGAAGAAACCACAGCCGGATTTGCTATAGTCGTAAACGGGCACTCTCTAGTTCACTGTCTCCATCCGCAGATGGAGCGGCTGTTCCTCGAAGTAGTGATGCAATGCAAAGCTGTCATTTGTTGTCGAGTGACTCCTTTACAGAAAGCTTTAGTTGTAGAATTGGTCAAGAAAAGTAAGCACGCTGTTACGTTGGCTATCGGGGACGGAGCCAATGATGTTTCTATGATAAAAGGTAAGGGATTTTTTACATTTGAGTTCTTTTTAAAAATATAGTGGTGAATCTATTTTGAATATAAATCTTCTTATCCTCATGAATCTTGTCAAAGTACAAAGGTATAATAGTTCCGCAGCAAATAAGAATAGTGAACTTCGTGTAGCAAAAAGAGAAACAGAATTGGAGCAAGAGGCTGAACAATAAAACGTAAGGATCAACAAGGAGGAGGAGTCTACATCTAAATAAAAACTGAAACCAACGGGCAAGAAATTTGCGCGAACATAAACCACAAATACCCACAGACATTAACGCTGTGTGGCTAAATATTGAAATAGCAAACATAAAGTTTACTCTGGTCGGTCTGTATATACAGGCCTCATCATATCACATTGGAACAGAACAAGAGGCTTCTGGACACTTCCAAAGAAACATTTGAGGGAAACATAGACGCTGTTATCTGGGGAGACTTTAACTTCCCTGAGATTGGAAAAGTCTTACACTGAGAGAAAACAGTGTTAACGCTATGGATTTTATTGATGCCTACAAGGAATGGAATTCTAGGCAGCTAGTCACGGGAGACATAAGTTTTCGGGGCGCTCAATCATCTTTGTTGGACTTACTGCTGGTAACTGACAAAAAAATGTGAGACTTAGGCAACGGCCAACTAGGAAAGTACTTAAACGTAACTTCTGGAAGGCAGATTATGACAGCATCAATGTCCATATTGATAACAGGCTTGCAGGCACAAATACTGACAAGATGGAACTCAGGGAATTTGAGGGCATAGTGAAGGAAACCATTGAAACCTATATTCCACTCAAACCTAAGCTTGTGAATCATAAAAAATCATGGTTAAATAATGCAATATTTAGAACATTCAATCAAAACGAACATTTTGGGATAGATATGCCAAGAACAAAACAGCAGATAATTACAATTTGTACAGAACTCTAAATAACAGCTTGAAGAATACAATCAGGGCAGCCAGGATAGAATACGAAAATGATCAGAGACGAGAAACAGTTTTATACGTATGTTAGGCGAACATTAAATAACAACACATCTCAGCTTGTGCTCAAAGAACCAATCACGGGAGTGATTATCTCTGGTGGACAGTGGCCATCCTCTGGATGCACTGTACTTAGACTAGAAGTTATTATCCAAACTGCAACACTTTGGAATCAGGGATGAGCTCCTTGGATGGATAGGCAGTTTTCTACAAAACCGAACCTTTCAAGTGAGAGCAAATGGGCATTACTCTGATGAATACAAGGTCCTTAGTGGGGTGCCACAAGGATTGGTGTTGGGGCCATTGCTGTTTACTGTATACATCAGCGATCCTCATCCACAATCCAAACATGCTTTACAGCTTAAACGACACTACCGTGAAGGCTGTCACTGAGCAAAGATCTGGGTGTCATTATCTCAAATCATCTCCTAAAATGGTAAGCCCATATTTCATCAGTTGTCAAACTGTTTTGCATATCTCATACAAGAAGCTTTTAGTGACAGATCTATCCCCATGATTAGCAAAATATATAAAATATATATATCCAAGGTTCCTAAAGTTCATAGGTTGTCTGGTAATGGGTAACCTGAAGACGCATCTAGGGTGCCTTATGGAGATTTGCATTATATTGAGGTCCCCCAGATGACGTTATAAAGTTATCAGCAACCTACCTCTCTCAAACAACGTTGTATCAGACCTAAATTGGAGTTCGCACATTCGGTCTAGAGCGCATACTTGGTTAAGGACATTGAGATCTTGGAAAGAGTCCAGGATAGAGTGACAAAACTTCTTCCTGAAATCAGAAATTTCTCATATGATGAGAGACTACTGAGATACGACATAACAACCCTAAAAGCTAGACGTGAGGGAGGGGACTAGATTCAGACGTACAATATCTTAAATCACCATTATTCTCCTGATTTGCAACTGGACATTTTCAGTCTAAATATTAATATTAACCAGCAACTCCAAGAAGCTGGATAAGGAGAGATGCTCGCAGCTGATCAGAAATTTTTTTCAACGCAACCCTATTGTCTATCAGTGGAACGCCTTTCAGGAAAGTACAGTCCTGGAGACAGCTAGACTGAATTTTGTGCATTACATGTGACTCATAACAGTGAAAACAAGGATATAACAATACAGCAGTAGTCTCATTAGAGTTGCCGCTTACTGCTGCTCAAACCTATAATAATAATAATAATAATAATAATAATGGTTTTCTCCCCACTATCAATCGGAACTACATACAAATACCTAGGTATGCAGCAGGCATCAACAAGGGATCATAGTGAAATGAAAAAACGTATTGTGAATGCGTTTATGGGAAGGCTTAAAAGTATCCTTAAAACTGAGCTTTACGCAAAAAATAAAATTATAGCCTTAAACATGTGGGTGGCCCCGATTATACAGAGTACATTTGGTGTGCTCAGGTGGTCTAAAACTGATTTAGAAGACTTAGACCGTAAAATAAGGACATCTATGACCAAGTACCGCATGCACCACCCACATGCATCTAGCTCAAGGTTGTACTTACCCAAAAACAATGGTGGAAGAGGACTCGTTAACTTCACAACCTCTCACAAATCCCAGATAAACAAACTTCGGAAATTCTTCGATCAAACTGAGTACCCTCTACATAAAGCCATTAGGGATGCTGACAAGAGTCTCTCTCCTTTAAGCCTGGCTATCCCACGCGTCCCTGAAACAATAAGGCCAAAAAATGAGGTAATTTATGAGTGGAAGTCAAAAAGTGCTACACAGGCGATACCCTACTAATCTATTCGGACCTGAAGCTGATACTCACCATTCAGTACCTGCAGGAAGGCTACCTTAGAGCAGAGACAGAAGGATTTATCGATACAAGACCAGGTAATACCTACCAAAAATTACCTGAAATTTATAGCTTAAGAACAAATTGAAAACGACAAATATCGACTCTGCCATACATCTGCTGAAACAATCCAGCATATTTCCTCAGCATGCACTTACCTAGCCCCAAGGTAGTATATCCAAAGGCATAATAAAGTTGCTGGCATACTCCATCAAGCAATCTGTAAGAAAATGCTAATGTTACAAGAAGAAAAGCCATACTACATGTACTTACCTGAGAAAGTCCATGAAAATGATGAATGCAGGATCTATTGGGATATGGACATCACGGACAGACCTGTAGAGCATAACAGACCTGATATACTTGTCATTCACAAAAAGGAAAAGGTAGCACACATCATCGACATAACAATCCCTCTGGATGATAACATAAGGAGCACAAGAACTGAAAAAATATCAAAATATACAGAGCTAGCACAGGAAATGAAGGCCATATTATATATAACCTACGAAAAATCATTATACTCCTCATAATAATTACCTGCAACGGCCTTGTCGACAAGCAGCTGGTGCGGAACTTGGAAGCAGTCGGGATCGAAAGGCCGTTGATTCGTAAGAATCCCGGCCCAGCCAAAATCTACCAGAGACATCTGTGAACAAAAAAATAATAATAATAATAATAATAATAATAAATCTACAACAAAAATTATTATTCAATCAATCAAAATTATTGTCGGAAAATAAATTTCATTGACAAAGCATGATCTTAAATAATGTGCAAGTAATTAAAAATTATCGGGTTATAAAAAAAAGAGGTACAATCAATAAAAATAAAAAATAAACATAAACATAAATGTCAAAGCATAATCCTAAGCAACACATGTACAATTTTTACTACATCAAACTATAGAGTCATATAGAAGGTACAGCCAATACAGAAAAAACATAAAGGTTGCGGTCAGAACAAAACAAAACAATGAAACAAACAAAATAAAATTTTTCATTTAAAAGTTCATTAATATGATAGTAGGCTTTTCCATGTAAAAATGTTTTGAGCTCTAGTCTAAACTTTTTAAAACCACCTATCTGCCTTAAGTTAACAGGCAGATGATTAAAAATTTGCCTACTTTTATAAATTAGTGAATTTTGCGTCAATGCAGTCTTGGGTATAGGAAGCTGAATTTTAAGAAGTTGCCTAGTTGGATAAGTTCTTGGATATTCTAACTCATCATAATGTTTTTTGTGCATAAGGCAAGCAGTTTCCATGATAAATATACAGCATACTGTAAGTATTTTATGTTTTAAAAATATTGGCTTGCAATGCTCCCAATATCCAACCTTACACAAATAGCGCACTGCTCTCTTTTGAATGACAAAAACAGAATCAAACAATTTATTAGAACAGTTACCCCAAAATGCAATGCCATACCTGATATGTGATTCAACCAACGAGAAATAAACTAACTTAGTAGTATTCAAACCAAGTTCATTTGACGCTATTCTTACAGCATAGCAACCACTTGCCAATCGTTTGTTTAGATTTGTAACGTGCTCATTAAACTTCAGTTTAGTATCAACATGAATACCAAGAAATTTACAGCTAGTTTTATTTTCAATTGTGTGTGTGTCTTATAATAAATCATCAAAAAAAAATTTAAATGTCAATATGTTGGTTTTCTTAGAGTTAAAACAAAGCAAGTTAGAGTCACACCAGCTCTTTACAAGATTTAGGTCTTCAGAAATAATCTTTTTCAACTCTTCAATATTTTTTCCGTTCCAGGTTATTTTAGCTCTAATGGGGAGGTGATTAATATCATTTAAATAAAGTAAAAACAATATTGGTCCCAACACAGATCCTTGTGGAACACCATTGTTCACAGCCAAGTTTGATGACTGAGTATCACCAATCTTAACAAATTGTTCTCTTCCCGAGAAATAAGATTCAAACCATGAGTATGAGATTCCTCCGAAGCCATAAATTTCTAGTTTTTTAAGCATTATTTTATGATTTACGCAATCAAAGGCTTTAGAGAAATCACAAAACACAACGGCGACAAGCTCACTTTCATTAAGACTGACGAATACCTGTTCCAAAAGATTAAACATTGCATCATGGGTGCCCTTTAATGGTTGGAATCCAAATTGAGTGTCACTTATATGTTGTGTTTTGAAAAATATTTTAACATTCTTTCTAACTAACTTTTCAACTATTTTTGACAACGTCGAGAGAAGTGATATTGGTCGATAATTACATGGGTTGTCCAATTCGCCACCCTTATAAAGAGGCAACACTATAGCTTTTTTCAGGCAGTCTGGAAATACTCCTGTTAAAAATGAAATATTAATACATTCAGACAAGACATAAATGATGTTTATGGTGCTTACGCCCATTTGTCAGATAAGCGACGATATACTGCATTATCAGGCAAGTTTCTAAGCAAATTTATTGAAACATTATCGTGCCCACTGGATTTATTGTTTCTTATTCCTCTAAAGATTTCATTAAGTTCTAATACGTTTGTAGTTTCCAGTACAAATGTGCCATTTATTTTAACATCAAATAAATAAGAACCAGGATCCACATTACTTTTCAAGTTTTGTTGTAAAGTATCAGCAACACTACAGTAGAAGTTGTTGAGAATATTGGGATCTAATTTAACATCTGTTTGAAAAACTGAGTTTTTACCAGTTAACTGATTAATTATTTTCCAGTTTTCTTTGCTGGCATTTTTGGAGGAGTTTATTCTATTCTGATAAAACTTTTCCTTAGCTGCTTTTAAAACACTTTTGTAAATTTTTCTATATCTGCAGAAATAACTTATGAACTGAGGACAATCAGTAAATTTGCGAATATTTTGTAACGAACGCATGTTTTTTGATGAAACTTTAATAGCGGAAGTAATCCAAAGTTTACTTTTCTTTTGCTTAATTTTTTGTAATGGAAAAGATTTTAAAAATGCATCAGTTACTAATTTTTGGTATTCGTTTAGTGGTGATTGACAATTCAAAACTGCTGGCCAATTTAATTCCTTGCAAATATCTTTAAATTTTTTATAATTGTTGCTGCTAAGTAGTCTACCAACTTTATATTTTGGTGGTTTATTTATCGCAAGTTGAAATTTTGCTAAAACTGCCTCGTGATCCGAAATGCCCACAGGAATTACACTACAGCTAACAAAAATTTGCTTTAAGACAAAATTTGAACACAGATAATCGATTTTGGTTTGAGAATGAACAGTTATTCTCGTAGGTTCGTTAACATACATCTCTAGGTCAAATGATAAAAACAAGTTAGACAGAATTTGCTGTGCCTCTGATCTGTCATCATCAAAATTTATATTAAGGTCTCCCCCTAGTATCAAACCTGCCTTGGGTGGCAGTTTTAGAATTTCAAGATTTTCAAAGTATTGCTTTAAGTTTGAATAATAGGGGGCTGTATATACACAATATATATAAATTATTTTTTTTGTTATATAACAAGGAGAATTCAAAAACATTAAAAGGGTATTAAACTTTGTTATGGGGGTAACATCAAAAGATTGTAAAAATGTCTTATTGACAAGAATAGCAGTTCCACCATGAGTTTTACTATTTCTACAATAGAGAGACACCAGAGTATAATTTTCAATACAAAATGGTTCATTTTCTGCTAGCCAATGCTCAGTTATAAGTAAGAAAGCTGGAAAATTGTTATCTACCAACAGCAGATATAAATCATAAAGTTTGTTCCTTAGCGATTGTATATTAATTAGAAATACGGAGACGGCGGCGTTATTAGGCCTGTTCACACAGCAATCACAAACCAGTCAGAGCGCATTTCATTGGTTGAAAACAATCAGAAACAGTCAGAAAACTAGTTTCAACCAATGATATTCACTCTGACTGGTTTGTGATTTCTCTGCGAACAGACTTATTATTTTTTATGTTTTGTGCCGCGCTTGCGCAGTTTGTGGAAGAGGTTGGTCTAAAAAAAAAAAAAAAAATTACCTCTGGAAAATTATTACCCTTTGAAATAGTGTCGTCATTAATACTTAAGATATTATCATTCATTTTCAGCCGCCCATATAGGTGTAGGTATCTCAGGCCAAGAAGGTATGCAAGCAGTCCTAGCATCCGACTACTCCATAGCGCAATTCTGCTTCTTGGAACGGTTACTGTTGGTCCACGGTCGATGGTCCTACTATAGAATGTGCAGTTTTCTGCGCTACTTTTTCAACAAGAATTTTGCATTTACGCTGTGCCACTTTTGGTACGCGTTTTTTTGCGGATTTAGCGCTCAAGTAAGAAGCACTTTTGTTGTTTGTAAATGAAAATGTTACATTTGGTTGTTTTAGACGATATTCGATCCAATGTACATATCGATCTACAATTTATTCTACACGTCGTTACCAGTATTAGCGGTGGGAATTTTCGATCAGGACGTCAACGATAAAAATTCTATAATCTATCCGCAACTCTACAGACCGGGCCATTTGAATAAATTCTTTAATAAAAAAGAGTTTTTTCGAAGTGCCCTCCAAGGCTGCTATGTGTCAATTGTATTATTTTTCATTGCATTTGGTAAGTTTGATTTTTTCAGTTTCTAATGTTTGTTATGGATTAAATTTTTTTAGGTACTTATTATGATGCTGTAGCATCCAATGGGCATAATCTTTCTGACTACATGCTATTCTGCAGCATAATGGCAGCCATTTTAGTTATTGTAAATACTGCCCAGGTAATATCCAAAATTTTTTCTATTAATTGCATTAGGTAATATAAAATTCTTAGATTGCAATGGACACTCAATATTGGACATTCGTCAACCACACAATGATATGGGGCTCGCTAGCGTTTTATTTTATCGCTGACAATTTTTACAATTACGTGTGTAAAGGCCCTTATGTTGGATCTCTGACTAAAGCAATGGCTGGAGCTAATTTTTGGTTCACCACTGCCCTAGTGGTCATTATGTGCGTCTTGCCAGTACTCGCCTATAGATTTTATTTTGTTGATGTGTTTCCTACATTATCCGATAGAGTGCGGATGAAACAACGACTAGCCCAGGTTTGTCTTTGTCATTATACCATCAATAAAAAACCAATTATTTTCTGTTATTCAGGTTCGTTCACGTCAAAGTCAAGACGTTCTCCGGACTCCGTCAGCTCGCAGAGCCAGACGTTCTATTCGTTCCGGTTATGCTTTCGCCCATCAAGAAGGTTTCGGAAGGCTGATAACGTCTGGAAAAATTATGCGTAAACTGCCCAACTCGGAATTTACGATTCCCAACATTATTAATAAATTGAATATTTCAAACTCGCTGAAAGACTCGTCGAATAAGAATAATAATCCGCCGAATACGGCCGAGAGTGGCGGTAGTAGCAGCAGCGGCGCTAGGGCGCCCATACAAGACTTGGACACGATTAATTTGTGATAGTAGTGGAAATTTTTTATTTTTATTCAAGCAAGAAAAATCATGACAGTATTTTTTTTTTTAAATTGTTTTAAGTTGTTAACTATGGGGCATGTTTTATTTGTCAACAGTTATTGTTATAAATCAAAAATTATGAATGAATCATGTCCTTACTGTGATTAAGTTTTAAAATTTATTATTATCATGAACCTGACAAAAGAATTGAATTTTGGAATTTACTAGTTTTGTATATACATAACTGATTAATTCTGCCTAGTAAATCCACTATAGCACACATGGCAATCGCCATCTGGATTCTAGTAGACTTACTTGTTGCCACATTATAGACAAATAAGAACTCGTTGACTGTTGTTACTGAAAAAGTATTTTTTTTTTTTGTTAAATTCTTGCTCCCAGCAGGAAGTAAAACTCTAAACCATCTAAGGAAAATCTTGTTTTTATTTGCAACCAAAAACAAAACGACTAGAAAATTTTGTTTGTTGATTGTTTCTAGAAATAAGTGTACAAGTAAAAGTAGGATCTAATTAAATTTTGAACATTTAATTATGGTTCGGGATTGTGTTGTGGTAAGGAAAATAATGTTTTACGTTGTCGAGTACACTACACTTAATTGATAAGCTTTACTAGTCAAAACAAAGTATGTTTAAATGTTAAGATATTTCTTATTATGTATTATTATTATGAAGTTATATTTAAAAAAAGTATTGCTTTTTGTTTTTTTATGAATAAATTTATTTTTTCTGTAAAAATGTTTTTTTATTTTAATTTTGAAGAACTTGTAATCCAGGGAAGGGATAAAGTGAAATGCGGAAATTAAAAATAGAATTTATTAGCAATTTAAATTACATTTATGTCTATTATAACAAATAGCTACCACGTCAAGTCTTTTTTTTTTAAAGTGTATGATACAAAGATAATGTGCCAAATATGTATGGTCAAATTAAGTATTTTTCATTCAATTAAAAAATTCTTCAAAAATCAAACACAATTTAATTTAATTCTCATAGCCACATAAGTGCCGCTTAAAAAAAAACATCTAAAACTATGCATCTAAGAAAATTTAATATCTAAAAGTTAACAATATCAGATAAGTCACTTCAGTCAGTTCTTGTTAATTGTCCAATATTGTTTGTAGAAAGATAAATCTAAACCAACAAACATCACTATTTACAGGCTAGTATTTTCCACACAGTTGGGTAACAGTACTTCATAAAACTGGAGCTCTGCAATTTGGGCAAACCTTTTTTTCACTGTTGAGCCAAAGGTTGATGCAACCCTTGTGAAATTCGTGGCCGCACTCCAAAAATCTGCCCTCGGTGAAGACTTCTGTCAAACAGATGCTGCACATTTCTCCTGGTTGTGGACGTACCCTTCTTCTATACCTGAAAAATGAAAAATGCCTATATAGAATTAGAATATATTCATAGTGTCTGGAACTTTATCCAGAATATTCACGTTCGAAAAATTGTTGAAACAAAAAATTTTACTTCCTGTGTTGTTGGTTTTTGTTCAAAAATTTAACATTTTTCACAAAGGACATTGCACACCTTATATGGGATTTTGTTAATCGGTCGATTTTTTTCAAATTTTGCTATGTAATAGAGCCTATGAATTATAAAGGGTGTCTCACGACATTTTTCCCAGGTAATAACTTCAAAACGCGTCATCAAGTATAATTGAAATTTTGAGGATCTGGATAACTTTTTGTGCCACTTCTACTATTGTCATCCAATTTCATCACTTTCGCTTCAATTTTGGTCAAGTGAGGTCAACTTTCGAATCTTAAATGTAACTAATGGTATATTCAGGCCTATGATGTATCATTTTCTGTTATTTTAACAGCAACGTTAAGTTATCTATCACTGTTTATTTTACACGTAAAATTAGAGACAGGTATAGATTTTGAGCTATAACACAACTGTTAAAATAACAGAACAGGATACATCATAGGCCTGATTATGGCATTTTTCATTAGAAAATTAAATAACAAAATCGGCAATGCCATATTTGCTAAGGCTTTGTTGAAGAAAAAGATAAAAAATTATACAGTGAAACATACGATGATGCGTTCCGAAGTTATCATTTGGGAAAAACCTTGTGGGACACCTTGTATACAAGGTGACTCAGAAAAATGGTTTTAAAGTTAAGTACAAAATAAACAAATTTCGTCATTATAATAATAATTTAAAGGCATCTAGGTATTTCTTAATTTATATTATTAAACCAAGCGTAATTGGAACAGATTATAATATTAAAATAAGGATAGTCGAACAGGGTGTCCCATTTTGGTTATACTCGAGGGATAACTTGGTTGCCATTGGGCCATTGGAGTAAGAAGAATTTTTTTTTCAGATACAAGGCGTTTTTGAAAATTTTGCATTTTGGGACACCACTTATATCTCGGCTCTCTCATAAGTAATCAAAAAGGTGCCAACGGGTTCTTATAGATACTTCTATCTAAATTCCAGTTGCGTAATCAGTTTTTCTCTAGAAGTGATAGTTTTTAAATTATAATCTCAACATACTTTTTTCAAATGAGACACCCTGTATAGCAATAACTCATTGCTAAAATTTTTAGGTATAGGTATACTACAGGTACAGCTACGGAAACATAAAAAAAATTATCTTAAATTGGTAAATACAGGGTGTGTCAGAAATGGTGTTACAAACTTCAAGGGCAGATAGTATTCATGAAAATAATTTAAAAAGTTCCTATGGATATAGGATACAGGGTGATACGTTTTACAAAAAAAAAATAGTTTTTTATTAATAGTCCAAAAGAGCTTTGGTCAATTTCAATGAAATTTTCACGGTTTATTTCAACCATTATCAGACATAGACTGGACCAATTAGATTTGATCCAGAATTCCCAGGGGCGTACCCAGCGACCAAGTCGGTTGTTTTTGTGAGGAAAAAAATATCACTCTGTTATCTTTATGAGGAATACGCTTATTGTAAATATTGAGGAAACTAAATTGCCAACGTCACAAGTTTCACTTTCTAAATTATGTCTTTCATTAAATAATATATCTTTCGGTATTATATGTGTATATAGACCACCATCCAGTAAACTTCAAAACTTTTTAATTGACTTGGAAGAATACTTACAAAGAAATACATTTACTCAAATTGAACTATTAGTAGGTGATATCAATATAGACATTTTGAATAAAAATGATAACAATAATTCTAACTTGTATATATCGCTTCTGAACTCATATGGATTTGAATCCATGATAAATGGCTATACTCGCGTGACCCCAACTTCTATGACATGTATAGACCATATCTTTGTCAGAAACAGAATTAAAAATCAGTGTAATTAGAATGCATTTATATTGGATTTGGCTATTACTGATCATTTTCCTGTTTTGATCAACCTCAACACTGAAAATAGTAACAACAAAAATAAAAGCCACCCCAAACATAGTATAGTTGCAGAGACCTTCGAGAGAGTTAATATAAATACCTTTGGAAATTTGATAAAAAATACTGATTGGCGGGATGTGGTTGAGACCATGGACTTGGAAATGGCTACAAATAAATTTGCAAAAATAATGAAGGATATTTTTAGAAATTCTCTTGAACGGAGAGTGTATAATCTTGGAAGGATAAACAAAAATAAGCCGTGGGTTACAAATGGCCTTATCAAGTCTATAAAAACTAGAGATACTTTGAAAAGAAATCTTTTGAAAAATTATAATGCAAATGATAATTTAATATACAAAAAGTACAGAAATAGTTTAAATGCTTTAATAAAAAAAACAAAACATGACTATTACAGAAATAAGATACAAAATAATATTAATGATTCTAGAAAAATTTATAAAATTATCTCGGAGGCAACTGATCAAGTTACATCCAAAGTCAATCACGATATACATATTGAGAATAATAACACTGAGCCTTTCTTAAGTAACGAGGAAATGGCAAACTTTTGAAATCAATACTTTAATGGTGTTGGCACTGAAATGTTTAACAAGATTAATAACCCACCGAATCCATTCAAACTTCAATACCAGTGTGCAACATCAATGTTTCTAATACCTGTAGATGACAATGAAATAATAAAACATATAAGCTCTTTGAAAAATAACTGTGCTCCAGGTCCTGATCGCATCGATTCGAAAATAATTAAAAAATATAATTTACATCTTCTTAAGCCCTTAACACACATTATAAACCTCTCTTTTGCGACTGGTATTGTTCCTTCCTATTTCAAATTGGCAATAATCACACCAATTCTTAAATCGGGTAATCCCAAGGATATAACGAACTATCGACCTATCAGCGTGATCAATAATTTTTCAAAAATATTTGAGAAATGTCTCAAATCAAGGCCTAATGGATTTCTTACATCTAATAAAATATTAACTGAGAATAAATTTGGTTTTTACAATAGAAAGAGTACAACCGATGCAATCTATGAACTAACAAAGAATATAATTACCATGTGACATTTGTCGCAAAATTTTATGCAGAAATTGCTCTGGAATCAGGAGCTCTGAGATCCGAGTTCTCATAATGAAAGAAAGCTGCCTGAGATATTTTTGTCCTAGCTGCACGGACTGTTTCCAAGCACTGCCAGGGTTAAGCATAAGACTTCACGAATTGGAAGCAGAAGTGGAAAAGCTTAAAGCCGACCGAAGGGTTGTGCTTTCCAATCAAAATTGTGTTCTTGAGGATGATGTAGCAGAATTAAATAATGATTTGGAAGTAACTTCACCTATTCCTGCCAATGGCCAACTTACTTTAGAGGGCATTGGAAATGTAATGGCCCCACTGATCACTGGAATACTTGAGAGGATTCTTGATGGTCAGGCTGAACTTATTTCAAATAGACTGGAAGGGACCTGCAAACCCATTCTGGATTCGAATAAGGAACTTATCGGATTCATGTCCAAATCCTATATACCACTGCTATCTTCAATAAAAAGGCATGAACATTCTACTAATGTCCCTGCATGCTTGGAGGAAATGGAGCATAATGCGTCAAGCAAACTGGTAGATCCTGCACAGCCCCGCGCCTCGATGGCAAAACCTGTTCAGACAAAAAATGGCAATGAGCCTACAATATTTACATCATCACAAGTAGGCCGGGCCATTGATGCTGGTCTCACTCACATGCGTTCAGCGGCTGATAAAAGTAGTTTAAAGGCTGCCAGGAATGTTGTATCTGGGAAAAACACAAACAACTTGAATATAACTGCCGCAAAGCCGTGTAAATGGTTTTATGTTGGTAACCTCAGTCCTGATTGCACTGTTGACTCCCTGAAGTCTCATTTGGTTGATGTAGGTCTATCACCCATGGGCTGTGAGAAACTTAAATCTCAGCAAGACCATATTAGTTGTTTTAAAATTGCTATTCCTACTGAACAAGAATCAATGATTTTGAGTAGCAATAAATGGCCGTTGGATGTCACAGTTAAACCATTTGTTTTCAGGCCAAGGAGACAAAAAGGCTTGCCAGGCTCAAGAAATTTTCACCGGGGCTATCAGGGCAGAATATTTCACAGATAGAAAAACAACCTGGTGGTTCGATGCAGTTTTATTACCAAAATGTTAGAGGTCTAAGAACAAAATTAACTCGTTTTTCCCAAGCAGTAATGTGTGAAAATATAGATGTCATTGTATTAACTGAAACTTTCTTGTGTGAAGACATAAATAGCAGTGAACTGGATCTTTTTGGCTATAACGTTTATCGCTGTGACAGATCTACAAAAACTAGTGCCTGCACCAGAGGTGGCGGAGTCTTGGTAGCCTCAAAGGAGCATATAGCGACCACTCAATTGAGAAGCCCTATTGAACATGTGGAGCATTTGTTCATGAAAATTACTTTTAAGAACAAACATATCATTTTATGTGTAGCCTATATTCCACCTTCATCATCCATCGATGTCTATGATGATTTTTCCTTTGCTGTGACTTCAGTTCTTCAGGTTCATGTAAGTGAAAATTGTGATGGTCTTATTTGTGGGGATTTCAACCAAAGGTATCATGGAACAATGATGAGTTTGGTTCGATGCCAATGGGCAATATAACCCCTCAAGTACAGTCTGTGTCCGAATGTATGGCATTTTTCAATTTGAAACAAATGAATAAATAATGTATCAAATGTGTATGGAGGTTTCCTAGATTTAATTTTCACTAATGTCAATATTAATGTGTCTGCAAATGATATACCGTTAACTGTCTGTGATACTTACCATCCAGTAGCTCTATCAGTTGTGGTGGACTGTGATACTAAATGTGATTATTTTAACTATGACTATTTTTATTACAATTTTAGAGGGGCTAATTATGTGGATATTAATAGGTATTTATCTTGGCTTATGAATTGGAATGAAATCCTGAATGTTTCTAATGTTAATGAGGCTTTAAC